AAAGGAGTAGGGGGCCGGCCCCATATACCAGAGATGGCAGGTTCAAACTCAGCCCGGGCCAAAACTGCAAAGAAATGTATATATATATATATATATATATATATATGCATATATATATGTGGAAGTTCTTCAGTCTGAAAAGAAAGATACTATGTATAAACGCAGATTCTCAGAAAACAGTGAAAAGCATGAGGAATGGTAAATATCTGGATAAACATAATTTTTTTTTCTTTTTGCCCTTTACTTCTTCGTTCTTTTTATAAACTACATAACTGGGTTGTAAAAAATTATGACCTGGTCTGTGGGGTTTATAATGTATGTAGATGACTATATAGTATAAAAGCTATAAAATAAAAAGGAATGTGGACTAATAGGATTACAAGATTTCTATATTTTACATAAAGTGGTGCATTAATCATTGTAAACGCCAAAATGAAAGGTTTTTTATGTTTGTGTGCGTCTCCCTTTCACAACCCCTAAAAAATAATTTCAGAGGTATAGCTAAAATAAAAATGAGAAAATTAAAAGGGAATTCTGAAACTAGTCAAAGAATTCAAAAATGAAAGGCAGAAAAGAAAGAACAAACAACAAACGACAGAAAAGAAAAAAACAAAAAGTAGAGCAATGGTCCCAAATATAAGCATATCAATGATTTCAGTAAGTGTTAATGGACTAAACAATTCAATTAAAAGGCAGGGACTGTTTAACTGAATTACAAGAAAAAACAGGACCCAACCTTATAATGTCTACAAGGGATGAACCAAAAACATAAAGACAAGCTAGGTTGAAGAAAAATAGATGGAAAAAGACATACCATGCAAAGTGTAGAAATATGTGTAAAAAGGCTACAGTGGCTGCATAAATGAAAGAGAAAATAGATTCAAAGCAAAATGTACCCTAACCATAAACTTTTAAATGAAGATTTTATGTTATATGAAATTTTGTGTTATGTGAATTACATCTCAATAAGAAATGTATCAGATAATTTCATTTCTTTTTAATGATAAAAGGCTCATTGTCAAGAAAGACACAAGCAAAATTTGTATATATCTAACATACAGAGCCAAAAACTGACAAAATGAAAATGAGAAAGAGACAATTCCACAGACATCACTGGAAATTTCAACATCTCCACTTATCAAATGCTAGAACAATTAGACAAAAACAAAACAGTAAAGGCATACAAGTTCTGAACATCATCTTAAACCAACTCGACTTGATAGTTAAAGAACACTCCACTAGGATTGGCAGAATATACATTATGTTCAAGTGCACCTTGTGTGCTTGTCAGAACAGACCATATTTGGGGCAACAAAACACATCTCAATAAGTTTGAAAAGTTTCAAATTATGCAGGCTATGTTTTCCGACAATGGAGTGAAATTCAAAATCAGTAATAGTAAGATAACCAGGAAAACCCAAAATATCTAGACTTCAACACACTCCTCAACAATCCACTGGGTCAAAGAAAAGTCACAAGAAATAATAAAAAATATTTTGATAATAGGCAAATATGATAATGAAAATACATATGTCACAATGTGTTGGCTATAGATAAGCCAGGGAGTATAGGGAAATGTGTAACTTTAAACATTGTGAGAAAAGAATAAAAGTATAAATTACAAATTATAAAAAGAAGTGGAAATTATAAATGTGGAAATTACAAAAAAAAAGTATAAGTTATACCTAAAGCAAACAAAAGGAAAGAAAGAATAAAGGGTAAAGATCAAGAAAAATAGAAAACAGAAAAACAATAGAGAAAAATCAATAAAACTAAAAGCTGCTTTTTGGAAATAAATCCAACAAAACTGATAAACTCTAACTGGACTAATCAAGAAAACAGAAGACAAAAATTTCCAATATTAGAAATGAAAGAAAGAGATTCGCCTCATGTCCTTCAGATAGTAAAAGGATGATAAGAGAATACGGTAAAAAATTTTATGCCAATAAGTTTCACAATCTAAATAAAAATATTCCTTAAGAGACAAAATTACCAAAACTGCTTCAAGAAAACTTGGTAGCCCTATACAAGTTGAGGAAATTAAATTCATAATTGAAGACTTTCTCACGTAGAAAAATCCAGACCTAGACGAGACCACTGAGGAATTCCACCAAACATTTAAGAAGAAATAATACCAATCTTTCACAAACTTTTTCCCAGAATAGAAGAGGGAACATTTTCCAGGTTATTTTATGGGGCTAACATTACCTTAATCACAAAATCAAAGACATCACAAGAAAAAATGACTACAGAGCAACATCTTCATGAACATAGACACAAAAGTTCTTAATGAAATATAACAAATATAAACAAATAATGTATAGAAAAGATACCATATGTCACATCCAAGTGGGGTTTACCTTAGAATGCAAGGTGGTTTAACATTAGCCAATTACTCGATATAATTTGCCATATTCGTAGAATATGAGAGAAACATGTAATTATTTCAACAGATGCAGAAAAAACACTTGACAAAGATCAGCATTCTTTCAGGATAAAATCACTCAGCAATTAAGAATGAAAGGAGTCTTCCTCCTCTGATGAGGGTCATCTAGGAAAACTCTACAGCTAACCTCAAACTCAGTGGTGAAAGATTTAATGTTTTCTACCTAAAATCACAACCAAGCAAAGTAAAACTATCCACTCTCATTATATTGATTTAATCTAAGTATTGAATAAGGCAGGGAAAAGAAAAAAGATTGGAAAAAAGAGATAAAACTCTCCTATTTGTGGACAACACAATTGTGTATGCAGAAAACTCAAAGGAATCCAGAAAAAAAGCTACTGGGATTAACACACGTCAATTTAGTAAGATTGCAGGATGCACTTTGTAAACACAAAAATCAACTGCATTTCTCCATGTAACCACAAAAAACAATTAGAAAGTAAAATGCAAATAATAAATTGTAAAAGCATTAAGAAAATTAATCTGAGATAGATTTAACAAAATATGTGTATATATTACACAGATTTATATAACTATAAAACATTTCAACAAAAATTAAAGAAGACTTAAATATTAATATATAATTCATAATATATTTACATATGTAATAAATAAGAAAATATATCACAATCATGTTTTGGGAGCTCAAAGTTATCAGGATATACAGTCTTCCTAAATCAATCTAATACACTCAATGCAATCCCAATCAAAATCCCAGCAAGAATTTTCTAATAGAAATATACAAGCTAATTCTAAATTTTATATGGAAATGAAAATGAATTAGGATAGCCAAAACAATTTCGAAAAAAAAGAACAAAGTTGGAAAATTCACCCTACCTGATTCTGAGACTTGCTATAAAGCTAGAGTAATTAATATAGTGTGGTATGAATGTGATAAGAAGAGATATATCAATGGAACAGAACAGACAGTCAAGAAATAACAGCCACACTTATAAGGAAATTTATTTTTGGTTAAAAAATCTCAAGAATTTTCTGTGGTGGCAAAGCTAACAAGGTCTTGGCCGGGCCTGGCCTAACGCATCGGATCTCATTGTCCCACGCGCTTCTTGTTCCCTGCCCCCAACTCCCCTCAATAAAATGGTTTGAACCCTCGCGTCCCCCAAAAAAAATCTCAAGAAAAATTTTAAAAAGTATTTAATGAATGGTACTAGGACAATTGGCTATCTGTAGGGGAGAAAAATCTAATTCTTTTTTTTTTTTTT